GAAAATGTAAAAAATGCTGTTTAAAGAAAATAGATTTTGAATATAAGCTTCTCTATTCAAACTAAAGATCAAATGTGAATTAAAACAGGGATTTTATTTTTCAAGAAATCATCTCTCTCTCACCTAAATCTATAAACTGTTTTCCATTATGTGTTTTTTCAACAACATAACTCAAATATGTATTGCACCACATGACAGTTGGTCTTCTCACATGTCTTAGGCTTAGCTGTGTCAAAAATGTCTAGAGTGTCATTTGTTACAAGTTTAAGGCTGTAAATGTATTCCTTTACAACAGCTGAGGAACTGTCACCAATGCTAGTTTCCAGAGCCTGGAGCTTTTGACCATACCATCATTTCTACTGGTAACTAAACAGTGCAGTAGATCAGCACGAGATACTTTCAAGTCATGACCTCTAGTCAAGTAAAATGTATGTAGTCCAACCACACCCAATTGTATAAACAAATAGCATCAATCATAAATCAGCCTGTCTTCCATACTTAATGAAATAATATAACTATGGCATGATGGTATACCAATTGTCCAGAGAAAAAAAAGAAATCACACGATTTAAAACGTTCAGGGGTGGGGGTAGGTATCAAAACAGGTGTTTAGAGAATAACTCTTGGAAAACTCCCCCCCTACCACACCCCCAACTGTGCTTGATTTGTTACACTTAGTCCCAAATGCCTGCGACAATGAGAAACTGGAAGCTATCTAACGCTACCGGAACACAAGTATGCATAAAGATAAAGCCGAAGTCTCAGAAAAGCCTGGTGCATTTTCTGTGTTTTAAAAATATTTAGAATTACACCAGGCCAAGACAACAGGGACGGGGGAATTGCGGAGCACTCTGCAAGCCAAGCCATCGCTCCCTGAACGCCCAAGAGAGCTGCTGAAGCCGCCACCGCTCCCGTTCGGACGCCCAGTCACCTTCCCTCGGAGGACAGAGGAAAGTGCCAGCTACGTGCAGATGCAGTGGGCACGAAGGAACAAGAAGACAACACAAAAAAACGAGCGTTTAGAAAAGGCCGGCGAGTGGCGTATGGATCGAATCAGAGACTGAAGAGCGAGAAGCAGAGATGCCGGCGAAGCCTGAAGGATCAAAGGGCAGCGACAAAAGGGCGATTACAGACGGGACAAACCTAAGAGGGGCCCCGCATCAGAATCCAGGCGTGCGACAGGGACAGGGGGGAGGCCGGCTCCGGAGCCGGCACCGCATGCAAGCTCCGCACGCTCCCGAACCCCTCGAACTGCCCTGGCACCGGCCTCAGAGTCAAGAACACGTTCTAGAGAGAGCCGGGCAGCTCTCTGGTATCCCCAGAAATAACGGGGCCCGGCCGGGGCCCACACTCACCAGGCCACCGCAGCCCGGCGTAGCCTCCACATCCCGCAGCGGGAGGTTTACGCAGGCGCCGGGACGGCCACGCGGGAGCCCTGCGGTCGGCCCGTCCTGCTCCTGCTCCGGGAATGACCCAGGGCGAGGCGCTCGGCAACAAGGGCACAGAGCGCCGGCTGTGGCCCTCCCAATGGCGCATGGACTTCCGCAAGAGCCCTCCCGGCACCCGTACGCAGTCCGTCCCGGAAACCCGCCCCCGACGCGCGCCGAGCGGCCGCACGAAGGTTCCGTCGGGAACGTGCGCATGCGCCCCCGCGGCTGGGGGACAGTCGAAGTCCTTTCCTTTCCCTCCGAGCAGCTTCCTTCGGTTCCGGTTTGGAGTTCTCAATCCCAGCCGCTCAGGTTAAACAATGCAAGGGAGTCCTGGGGTCTGGCTCGTGAAATGAAGGGAATAAAGAATCCCGGTGGATAAATTCTTAATATCATTTAGGGATTGAAGCGTGGAGAAAACGAAAACCCGCAAACCCACTGCCAACAGGTGGATGCTGACTCTTGGCGAGCGAGCCTCCAG